ATATTATATGTGAGATATCAAAAAATTTAATATTTGGTAATTATAAAAAAAAAGTGAATTTCAAATTTAATTAATGTAATAATAATACTATAAAATTAATGTATTATTCACCTCACTATCAGCAACAAGGATTATGTTGCTGAAAAGTGGGGTACATGCACTCCCCTTAACTTTCAGCAACATAAGCTATGTTGCTGAAAATATGCTTTCAGCAACATAGGCCATGTTGCTGGAAATGGGGTTAAATTCATCCCCATTGGCCGGCTACCGGTTTACCATTGATTTTCAGTAACATAAGTCACGTTGCTGAAAGCATATTTTTAGCAACGTGCTTTAAGTTGCTAAAAACTCTTTACCACTTACCGATGGTCCTTGCCGGATTTCGGTGAAAAATTTCACCAATATGAAGCACGTTGCTGAAACTATATTTTCAGCGACGTGCATTATATTGCTGATGTATTAGCAACAAGTTGCTTGTTGGTGATGTATCAGCCAGCAAGGTTTCTCTAACAAAACTTTTACCAACAAAACCCATGTTGCTGAAGGACTTTCAGCAACATGGGAGGCACTTTTAGCAACATGAAAGCATGTTGCTAAAGGCTTGAATTTTAGTAGTGGAAAAAGAAGTGAAAAGGAAAGGAAATAGTGGACGGAAATGGAGGAGACAGAGATGGGAATTGAATGAAAGGGAGGGAGAAGCGAGGCAGGATCCATACCAATTGGAAGCCGACGGGAACAGAGACTGGTTCCTCAGGGAGAAGAGAGGATCGGAGTAGGCTGAGTAGCGGACTTCGAAAGGAAAAGCGGACTTCAAAAGGATTGTTTTAACTTGTTGCCTAAAAGCTGGGATGGCACTTGAATTTATAGCGGGCTCGGTGGAGAGGAAGGATCAAATCCACCCTCCACGTGTCTGGAACGGACGTACCTCTGCTTATCCCTTGCGTGGGTCCAAACGTATTTGTGTGCAGTACTTTGGGAACAAAACCAATTGAAGTTCTATACTCCAACGGCACCGTTTCATTTAAAATAAATCCCCAGCCTCTGCTTACCGCTGCAATTCTCCATCTAGACGGGAACAGAGACTGGATCCATACCAATTGCTGAAATGGCCATCCAGATGGAGAATTGAAAAAAAATTTGAAAAAAATTTCACGAAAAATAAAATAAAACACCCACCTCATCATTACCTTCGAATTCCTCGAAGAAATCTCCAACGTCGGATTCTTCTCTTCTACATCTTTTTGACACGTGTCCCGGTTTCAGACAAAAAGACGCGCAGGGAATGGAGTGACAGGTAGGGTACATCTTTTTGACACGTATCCCGGTTTCAGACAAAAAAGACGCGCAGGGAATGGAGTGACAGGTAGGGTGGGGTCCATTTTTTCCGGCTAGCGGCGACAGCGGCCGGAAAACCGAACCGAAAAAATGAATTCGGTTCGGTTTCAATGGTTTTCGGTTTTATTTTTTCGGTTTCGGTATTAACCGAATATATTTCGGTTCGGTTTCGGTTTGTAAAATTAAAACCGAATTTTTTCGGTTAATTCAAAATCGGTTTCGGTTTTAACCGAAACCGGTTTTTGCCCACCCCTAACAGCGGGGACGTCGGGTGGGGATGTAACACCACCACGCCACGCTTATTTAAGATATGGAAGAAAAGTGGACTTCAAAGGGATGATAAATAATCTATCTTAATACCCTTTTAAGTCCGCTTTATGTTACACGTGTCATCTGCCAAGGGCGTTAGGTTGATATTATACCCTTTCCCCCTCCCTCTTTCCTTCCCACTATATATACCCTTTCCCTCTCTCTCCCCTTCCAACAAGACTCACACTGCTCTCTTCCTCCGTAGCCATATTATTTACAATTTTGTACTCTGTTTCTCCGTAGCCAGGAGAAGTAAGTTTTGTTTGTTTATAATCTGATTCAGAAAAATGGCTTCTCACATTGTTGGATACCCTCGCATGGGCCCCAAGAGAGAGCTCAAGTTTGCTTTGGAATCTTTCTGGGATGGGAAGAGCAGTGCTGATGACTTGAAAAAGGTTGCAGCTGATCTTAGATCATCCATCTGGAAACAGATGGCTGAGGCTGGGATCAACTACATACCCAGCAACACCTTCTCTTACTATGACCAGGTGCTTGACACTACCGCAATGCTTGGTGCTGTTCCACCAAGATATGGTTGGCATGGTGGTGAGATTGGATTTGATACTTACTTCTCCATGGCCAGAGAAAGTGCCTATGTGCCTGCCATGGAAACGACTAAGTGGTTTGACACCAACTAGTAAGTTCTCACTCCTGTTAATGCCTTTTAAATTTATTGAGCTTTAATTTTGTCGTAGTAGTACTTATTAAGCGGTATGCAACGTGTTGAATCAGCCATTTCATCGTTCCTGTGCTGGGACCTGAAGTAAACTTCTCCTATGCTTCTCACAAGGCAGTAGATGAGTACAAGGAGGCTAAAGCTGTAAGTTTTGGGGCTAATATTTTATACAGTGTGTTTCATTTTCTTTAAAAAAATATATTTGTATATCACTTAGCTTGGTTGAAAATGCTAGTCTGCTTTATGTTAAGAGGCAGGATTAAATTTGGGGGGGAGAATTCATGTTATCCAGATTTATAAAATATGGAAAATTGAATTTCTTTTGTTGTATAAAATTTGCTGCTGAATCTTTGGTTTCTTTCGTTCTTCTAAATCCATTTGAAGGTATACGTGAAATTGATATTTAATTTTGATGATTGAGATGCACCATATTGTCAGGGTTTTGGACTTAACATGTAATCTCCATATATGATTGCTCCGTGTTTTTTTTTTTTTCAAAGGATAATTTTCTCTAAGATTTATACAATAGTCGTCTAGGGGTATTTGTACAATGTTGATCATGGGAGAATGCCACAGGAATGGGAACTGGTGGTGACTACATTGTTAACCCACCTGACCATGGTGTCTGGTTAACCTCTACATTATTCTAATTATTTGATATTTGTAGTATTGTGTATCTTTTTGTTAAATTGCTCATATCTTTTAGAATCTGAATGTCTGTCTCTCATGCAGCTTGGAGTAGACACTGTCCCAGTTCTTATTGGTCCTGTCTCATACTTGTTGTTATCTAAGCCTGCAAAGGGTGTTGAGAAGAGCTTCTCTCTTCTCTCTCTTCTTGACAAAATTCTCCCCATCTACAAGTAAGAGCTAGGAATAAATAATCTATTCATTATCCATTTATCTTTGATTTGTGTTCATGTGAATCCTTTAATTGTTTTTCTAATCTTCAGGGAAGTTATATCCGAGCTTAAAGCAGCTGGTGCTTCCTGGATTCAGTTTGATGAGCCTACTCTTGTATTGGATCTTGAATCTCACAAATTGCAAGCATTCAG